CATATCCAGCAAGAATGTTGAGCAAAATGTTTTTCTGCAGTGTGATTAATGTATGAACAAGTACACATACGTTTTGAGGAAAAATGGCCCTATGTGATCCTCAAACCTTAAGTAAGTACTTGAGCCAAGAGATCAAGCAGTGACATTCAGACGTGAACAGAACACAAAGTGTTTAAAGTGTGACTGCATTTTAAATACCACAATTATAACAAGCAAAACATACTCAGTGGCTGTTCATGCATGACAAGACATAAACATGCAAACTGAACAGGTAGTGCGCCATGTTTGATAGTGTTAACAAAGTTTCCTCCCATGTAAAGCAGTGTATTAACTCTGTAATCTCACTGTGTCGCCACCATAAGCCACACAGGTTCATTGTGGGGTGTAATTAGCCTCTATTGATTTGAGGGCAGCATACAACGAGTGATGAAAACCAACTCTGACAACTCCAATTCTGTGCCTGTCACTTAACGATTGCAGGCAATGACAAACCTAATGCGAGTAACCTCTGATTTGCTCTTGACATTGTGGCTGTGTTAAAACTGTGATTTGGATTTTAGTCTTTTCATTCCCATGTCAAGTACGCATTAACTTTGTACGTCATCCAAAACATCCACTGCCACTCGCATTTGCTTTGTCAAGTTTTCTACTCGCTATGTTTCCTAAGTCATGCCTCTCTTGGCACAGTGTTGATAAAGATAAAGAAACTACTAAAGTACACCTTTGAAGTAACTCAGCTTTTGAGCTAGCTCCATGCATATGAATATTCAATTAGAAATACATTGATGTAACACTCTTGATAGCTTTTTCCTGTCTTCACACAATCCATCATGCTTCTACTTTTAACAGCAGCAGCCTCTTTAACCCATAAAGATTTTATGTTCATATGCAGTCAGTTTGATGTAAAATTACAGTGGTTGGCAAGAGACATTCAATTATTAGGACAAGCGCTTCAATAAAGGCAATTAAGAGTGGGCGATATGCGGTTTAATATTATAATACACAAAAATGTAGAATTTTTCATAACAGATATGTGCATTTATATTTACATATACATGATAAGTCTGAATAATATATTATATTGAATATTATACAGCTGTAAAACACACTCTTGCTTGTGTGATATTGCTTTAATATGCAGTACACACAATATTATGGTGCGACTGCACATCTAATAATATAGCAAGTTGTGTCATTGCTTTTCATATCTTATATAATTCAAACTAATATATAATATAATAATGAGCTAATAGAAAAAAAATACTATGTGTTAAAATCTCACACCAGAAGATTTAAATTTGACTCGTACGGTTCTTTTACAGTTAAAAATACACATTACCTTCTCAATTTAATGGTTTGTTTACTGAAAAGCAGTTGTCCTTTAATTCATCTACTAAATGTTTTTACTGTCATTGCTTAAAAACTAAACATATGTTTTAAAAGTGCCATGATCTAAACCCATATGCCATTTGCCCAGTGAGCGATTGCAGAGGACTGTGCTTCACACAAAGAAATTGACACAGCTGAAGTGGATGGGGTTCATAACAGTGTTCTTGGTCAGTTTCCCAATTATTACTCATAGCAGAGGTGCTCTTTTGAAGCTGGCTGCTCGTATGAGAACTGTCCAATTCTGTCAACAGGACACATGGAGTTCCGAGGTTACTCACTCTAGCTTTGCCAAAGTATTTATTTATTTTTTTTATTGTGCAGAGAAATGTATTTGTTAATTATGCTTCTATTTTAGTTTATGCACATTTCTTCTTATTGTATAAAGCAAAAATATATCCACCACAATGGAGCACATATCCCAGAAATCCCAGAATTTGCATATCAATGGCTTATTTTTAGCTGCTTGTAGGAAGTAGGGATTCGATTATTATAACATACATTTTAACATTAAGGCAAATTACACTCATCAGACTTTCATCACTCTTCAACATTGTGGTATTCACTAAAAGAAGGATAAATCCCCAATACAGCTATCATCACCATACAGTACCACAGTGTAGCGATGTTCCCACAGGGAGGTGCTTTGTAAGGTTTGGACCTGATATATTGCCTAGCAATTCTGGTTTTATCAGACATTTTATCAGACAACAGAATCTTGAACAATCCAATAGAAAATTATGTTTTCTAACATGGCTTAAGGCAAACTCCAACTGGGATGTGGAATGGTTTTTCTTTCCACCCAGCCAGATGTATGAGGTGTGTAAGCAGTTGTTATCTTATATGCATTGTCATATTGCAAAACTTGACAGAAAGAAAACTCTGCTATAGTGTGTTATGACCTCTCCTATTAGAAATGGACCAGATACGGACTGACAGTTCTGGACAGATTCACAGTTGTCCCAGATTTTCCCACATTTTTGATGAGTAAGGCTATTGCTCAACAAACCTCTAACTCTTTCAACTTCAGCCCATAACTCATCCCATCCCGTTTGTGTCATTGTGTCTGTGGGATTTTTCTGGCCATCACCCAACATCAGTGCATGACCTCACTGATGCTCTTTTGTTTCTGAATGGGATCAAATCCCTGCAGCCATGTTCCAACATTTAGTGGAAAATCTTCCCGGAAGCTCGGAAGGTAGAGGCTGTTGTGGCAGCAATGGGAGGACAAACCCTAAAATTAAATGTGTGACAAACAAAGGGTGTTGTGTTCAGGTATCCGCATACTTTTGGCCACAATTTTTGTCATTCCTGCATTGTAGCACATTGTTATTTTCTGCAGTAGATGCTCTAAGCTTAGTTTAGCTCCAGCCCTAAGTAAATGCATCTAAACCAGCTAGTCAACCTCCTGATTCCAATTACTCTGGAATCTTTTGACATTACAAGAAACTTCCTGGCAGATGTTTTAAAGCAGGATGGAGCTGCATTCTGCATCAAGGTGGCCCTTCAGGAGCAGGATTGGACACCTATTATTCTCTAATCCAATCAAAAGTAACAATGGCACAGTTATTTGCTTCATGTTGGAACTAAATGGCATTTCATTTTAGGACTATTATTTATAGGACTTGTAGTGACTTTCAGGATGCTTACACAGTAAAGTTTATGCAGCAAATATTCAGCAAATTTGTGAATTGTGAAAACTCAACCCAGGCTCATTCAAAATACGTGCCTCTAAATACATTTCTGCAACACCGTTTTTACTTACCTTACGGCACGTTTCGCGACAGTTTCAAAGTGAAATGTCCAGTTAGTGGCATTAAAACACGGGTTCAATACGTGACCCTGGCACGTTTTTTTATGTTGATATAGGTACGTATTGCTGTGTTTTTATTACAAAGCTTCAGGTACGTATTGCGGCGGTTCGTAAATCAAATACTCGGGGAGTGTCGCTAAAAGTTAATGATCTATCGTGTTGGAAATATCCCCTATACCAAACCTAAACCCAAAACCTACCCGATAGTGTTAACAAATGCAAAACTGATATAAAATGCATTTGTTGATGCAACCGTGCCACTTGAACTTCCTTATATGCAGGTTTGAGCTGTTTTGTGTACAGCTTAGTTTCAAGGGATTCGTACCGGAGCGCTTCACCACTCAAGTGCAACTCCATACTGCGTGAGCTACCGAACAAACGAACATGAAAACCCATACATATGAAGCTAGATATGTGACGCTAACGTTCAAAAGTATCAGTTTTGAAATGTTGTAGCATGTTAAAATTGTTTTGAATATATAACATAATATTCCTCAAGTAATTGTGCTAAAATTAGGCTTTATTAATCGAAACTGTGGACCTGTAATTCATACTTTGTGTGGAAAAGGAATAAAAGTAGTCTAGTGCTTATATTCAACTGGAAACTGCAGCGATTCGTATGCATAGGTACGTTTTTTCAGTTTTGCAGAAATGTATTTAGAGGCACATGTTTCGAATGAATGGGAAAACTGGTAGCACTTTATATTACAGTCCTGTTTCACATGTACATATATAACTGTTATAGTACAATAACTGGGTAATAACTAGGTACTAACCCTGAACCTACCCCTAAACCTAATCCATGTTACCTTATATTATCTAGTATTTTCTTAGGTAAGTACACTCTAAGTGCACATACTGTAAAATGATGTGCATCCAGAAAACCTCAGGGTTTGACAAAGTGCATCTGTTGACCAATGAGAATTTCAGACATCATGGCCAGTTTTCGTTTCAGATATCCAATTTCTCCTTTATTTTAAACCGACCTGGCTTTTTCTACACCCTTAAAATGCATCGTATGTATTCCTTAAAATGCTCCATCAGAGCCTTCCCTATAGAGCATACCATTTGGGAAAGATGTGTTGTTACAGCAAAGTATGAATTCACACCTTGCTTGATCTTCTTTTCAAATAAAAGAGTTCATTATCAATTACTATATAATACTGTGAGATTTAGTAGATGTAGATGCAGCTTATTACTTAGTGTATTGCTATGTAATTACTATGCTATTACTACAACAGTATGGAACATCTTGGCAACAGAGCAAACATATCACCATCTTTGTAAACCACACATGATCAACTCTGAGATAAACTCTGCTGTATTAAAGTATCAAACATTTATTGATTTCAAATCTACTTTATTCACCTTACCATATTTTACAAACCAATTATAAATGTACAGTATCAGTCATAAATTAGGGGTCTTAACTGATAAAGTCATGCTTTTGGGGTCATTTTTGGGAGACGTCATGCCGTCTGTATTTTAGGCACTGTGCCTGCTTCATTTTTAAATCCTAACAAGCTCTTTCAATGCTAGAACGGAGCACTCTTCTAAGGGGATATCCCATGGCAACCAAACTGGCACAAGAATCATTGCACACAAATTCACACACTGACACACAACTAATACACACACGCAAGATGCGAGAACACTGCAATCGACTGTTGTTTAGTAGCCCCAGGGTCTCAGCGTGGTAAAGCGATAATCCTATCAAACAACAGCTCAAAGTTTATTATCTGCAGCTCAATATCAGCCACAGGAACACCAGGGCATAGAGGGCCCCTCCAGATACATAGAACGAGAGAGAGAAAACGGGAAACTTTTTGCCCTAGCTGGGACATTGGGTCAGTTTCATTTGGTTCTGTTGTTAATGAAGAATTTGAGTTCACCTCTAGTTGGTGGCATCTCGACTCACCTGACTACAGAATAAAGACGTCTCAGAGGTATGTATTTTACCCCCCTTCTCTAAATGTGTGGTATAGTTACCATAAAAAATAATGAGTTCGGAACTCTATTGTCTATTAATGCAAACCGTGTGCAATAAGTCTGTATTCAATTTCCTCTTAATCTAAAGGATGCAGAGGAAATGTTGGAGATATTATAAATACTCAGTGAGCCTGAAGCAAACTTGATTGACATTGAATTGCTTACTGTGATTTAATGAGACTGTTTCTAAATGTATAATGGCTGTTCGTTAAATGAAAACAATGAGGTATCTGACGGTGGTTTTGTTATGCATTGGCATGCAGGTTGTAGACTTTAAAAAGAGTTAGTCACAAATAAAGTTGATGGATTCATCACATTAGTAGGACATGGATAAGAATTAGTGTCTCCATTAAGGCAATCTGAACTGAACTTTGACAAATGAACTGCACTTTGTCTGTAGTCTGTAGGTGGTTTAATTGGTTTTAAAGAGAAATTACATGGGAGAGTAGAACAAGGGCACTTTACACAGATGCCATATAGGTAAAACACAAAAATACAAAAACAGTAGGTAGTTTTTAGTGTATGGAGTACAAAGCATAGGTTGCCAGTATATGAAAACTATTAACCAATTACAATTATCTCATATTTTTACTCGTTAACTATAATAGTATGACAACTATTATGTTATAGCTGTTTTATAACTATGTTATAACACCTCATTTGTTATAACATACAAACTATAACATTACCACATATAGTTCTGATCGATCGTGTTTTGGTAGAAAAAACACACAAATATTTAGCTTCTTTCAAAGCCCATCTGAAGTGTTGTGTTCTTTTAAAAACATTCAAAGTCATTAGCCCTGCATTCAACAGACGGATAATACAGTACTGGACTGAGGTGGATTATTGTCTGACTGTGGTGTGACGTTGTTCCTGTGATGGGGAAGACTGGCCAGAGCACGGTGGACCTCAACTCACCCTCAGATGTGAAGCAGGCTGTCCCATTTGAGGACCTGGATCACAACAGTGTTCCTGTAGAAGAGGAGAAGGAGAATACAGTACCAGATAGAGGATCTTGGAAGGGAAAATTTGACTTTCTACTGTCCTGTGTTGGATACGCCATTGGGCTGGGAAATGTGTGGAGGTTCCCATATCTGTGCGGAAAGAATGGTGGAGGTGAGAGAAGATAGAAACGCTGTTACTTATCTGCTGTTGAGAAGATGCCTGGTTGGATCAATATTCTTTCCATGTTTTTGCCATGAAGGACATGCTCCTGACAACATTCATGTCAATCAATCAGATTTTAGGAGTATGTTTAACGCTGTGGTTGGGGTTTGAACAACATTTTTGTCACTTAATCAGTCATTTGCCTTAATACAGTTAATGGTAAGTTTAGGTGTTGGATAGGATTAGGACTAAGTTTGACAAGAATATTGTTCCAGGTCCAAGAAAAGATGTTGACAGAGGAACATGCCCTCCTTGGTAAAATAAAGCTCAAAACACTTACCATGATCCATAAACATTTTGAGTGCGAGTGGCAGGAGCTCAATATAATTTGCATTGTAGAATGTCCACCAAGTCTTCCCTGCTGACAGACCAGGGGTGAATATCCCAAAAGTATAATGAACAAACTATGGTTCTGCCATACTTCTGTAAAAATTTTGGACAAAGTTCTGTCATTAGCAATTAGCTTAATGATTGAGTGTTTTCCCGAAATCTTAGTTCCAGCTAATATTGCGCATTCGCTTTAGTACCTCGGATAACCCCTGAGTATGCAAATTAATCAAACATCTAAAAATGAACCTTGGAGACTCCTATTAAAGTGGCTCTGATGAGACTGTTCACATGTTTAATGTGAGGATTCTGAATATTCGATCCATGGTTTTCACGTGACATCACACACTTACAGGAACGCCCACCTGAATGGCAAAACAAGGTAGAGGCCTGCGTGGGACTGATTTTTTAGTCCCGCTCCCGCCTGCTCCCGCAAGGTTCTATTCCGCACCCACCCGCTCCCGCTATATATTCACTCTTTGTTCACCCGCTGTCCACTTAGAATAATTTTCTACCCGACCCGACTGTTCCCGCTAAATTTAGATCTGGGTTCCAGAATCTCACATTTTAATTTCCTCTACTGAAAGAAAAAGAGATATGCTGACAAATAAAAGTGTATTCTGCACAAAATTGTATGTTATTTTATTCTTCTTGTCAAGAGTCTTGAATTTATTGTCTTTGACTTGAAATTATATGAATTATCTTAAGACGCAAAATTAGTTTAATATTTTATGCAACACAGTAGGAAAAAAGTGCCAGAGAAAATAAAAATGTACAAAAATTGTATTTCTTATTTTTATTCGTCTTGTCAGGATACAATTCGTTTAACATTGACAACACAATAGGAAAAATGTGTTGCAGAGAGAAAAAAAAAATACAAATGTAGGTTGTACAAAAATAGCCTATTAACTATTTTTATTCGTCTTGTCAAAATACTAAATTCGTTTGACATTTTTCTGTGAACACAATAGGAAAAGTGTCGTAGAGAAAAATAAATAAATAGCCTACGACATCTTTCATTTAAAATTATAGGCTAAGCAAAATATAAACAAAACCGAGTTGAACGTCCTTCAAGGACAGGGCATCCACACTTTGCTCCATCCTTATTCTGCTCTGTCACTCATCGACAACCTGCCTGTTCTGTCTGAGGGCCATATATTTACCACCGGTACAGCTCTGAGCATCGTTATGCACATGCTGCGCACAGACCACGCAAAAATGCGTGACGTTTAAAGCATGCGTGCAGCGCGTGCATAACAGTCCTGAGCGCAAGCTGTACCGTTGGTCAATAAGAATAAAGCACAGATATACTGTTCTAAATGGACTTCGGGAACGGGATATTGTTAGACCGCCCGCTCCCGTTCAAATTACACCAGAGTTACCGACCGCTACCGCGTTTTATTCGGGAATTTAATCCCGCTGCGCAAAAAATCTGGGAATGCAGACTTCTAAAACAAGGCTTTCATCCACTGACCGCCAGTTATTTTTACAAGGATTGCATTAAGTAGAAATTTACTAAGACACTGATATTAAAAGGCCAAATGCAGTATACACCTTATTGATGATGCATACTTTGTACAGGCAAGCAGATGAACCCAGAATATAAACACAATGTGCAAAGTTTCACATTCATTGTTTTTTCCCCATAGAAAACCATTATGAGGAAAACACTTAACAATTTAGCGCATTGCATTCATATTCCAGGCACATCTACTTGCCTGTTTAAAGTATGCATCATCAATAAGGTGTAAACTGAATTTGATCTTTTAATATAACTGTTTTAATACATTAAGGCAGAATACGTTTTTTTTCACATTAAACGTTTTAGAATATACCACTGTTTTTAGTGATTGAAATATTGCGGCGGGTGCTTTATATGGATTGCAAATGGTCAAAACTTGCATTTTGTTCACATATCTTTGTTTTATTCTTTTGAGAGGTGATCTAAATATTTGTGGATTGGAAACAAATGGAAAATTGACATGCTCGTGCTGCAGTTCTATGGATGTTTTGCCCTCCAGGACTTCGAGCCAGTCACATGACTGAAAACTATGAATAGAAGAGGTGGTGGGAGATTGTATTAAAGTTCACTTCAATCTTAATGCAGATGTTTTACAAGTCTGAAATCTAAAAACCTTAACAAGTACATTTTGTATTACATTATTTTTAGGAGCTTTTCTCATACCATACTTCACTACTCTGGTGTTTGCTGGAATCCCACTGTTTCTGCTGGAGACGGCATTAGGACAGTACACATCAGTGGGGGGGCTAGGAGTGTGGAAATTAATACCCATGATGAAAGGTGAGAAATATTCACATTATACACATTAGCTATTTGGAGTACTATTGCCTCACAGTAAGTTTTGCACTGCCATCAAATGGAATTACAACATGTTTTTTGCCTGACTGGGTTATACATATTAACAAATAGTCAAAGCCAGTGTCATGAGTTTGAGGCAGAACTATCTGTTTGTTCAACCAATGACAGATGGGGTTTGTGTTTAAAAATTTTTATTACTATTTTTGCAGTTCTGCTTGGTGACTCCAACAGCACAGAAATGACACACTTCATCTTTAAACAAAGCAAAATATAATTCAGTCATTAAATCTCTTGGAATAGCACTTTAACAGCTATGACAATGGTAACGCATTTTGTCTTTACAGACTAGATCTGCTTTGCTGCTGTAAAGCAAATACAGACTTGCCACTGCCAAAGACACACATATACACACGAATAGGCATACATAAATCCTGTAGCATCTAGACATGTGGAGCTGGGGGAGGTGGAGGGTCTCAGGGGGACTCTAATAATGCACTGCAGGATGAGCTTACAAGTAAGCTCACTGGTTGCAGAATCAGAAAAAGCCAATCAGCTTAGTAAATTATGTGATTGCTAGTAGATGCATGTAAAGAACCTGCACCATCTAGAGTGCATATCTTTTTAGAACCCTCCCCATAAGTTTACCTTGCACATATACTTCAGAAATATGCCCATTTTCTCTTTTTCTTCCCAACTGAGACCTTTGCAAAAAGCAAACATTATTTTTTCTAAAATGATATCGTTTTGTTTTTATGCAACCATTGTTTTTTTTAATTAAAAAATGGTAGCTGCTATTGTAGGTTGTGTCTATGTGTCTAGATAGTTCTCTTAAAATGATGGAAGAATTTCACAAGAGTATGGCAGAATGAGGGTTCCCATCTACAATCTACGTGTTTTGGCACAAAACATATTTTTTGGATTAGTTGTGCTGTGTCATTTGAGGTTTAACTCTTAAACTCCTCTTGTGTCAGGTGTGGGTCTGGCTGCTGTAGTTTTGTCCTTCTGGCTCAACATCTATTACATCATCATCATCGCCTGGGCTCTGTACTACCTCTTCAACTCTTTCAAAGCAGTGAGTGTCAATTAAAAAGTGCAAATACACAAATATCTATTCCTTTTTGTCTTTCCTGTCTTTCAAAACTGTTCAACCATTCAGCATGTTTTATTCACTACCCCGTTTAAACATTACTCATCAGTATAAAAAAAAAGAAGTATAAGTTATTTGAATTGTAAAATAATTTAAAAAGTCAAATTATTTAATTAGTGATTCATATTGTCAATATGCAGCATGCTTGATTTTGTGTGGCATTTACAGAATGGCTGTATTTTGTATTAAACTACAATACTCAACCTAATGGTACATTAACACAGAATGTGTTGCCATTTTTGTTCTCTTGATAATTTGATTAACATTTACAAATCTATTACAACTATTTTTTTTATTTCATTCATTGGTCAAATAGGTTATATGTTTTTTTTCCCACACCATCCATGTCTTTATCTGCCCCAGTGAATTCAGCTACACTTGTCTTAGATTTTCAAAGAATTTCTCAGTCTTCTCAGAATTGTTGCTTCTTTCAAGCTCTCTCTTCCTCCCTGTTTCTCTGTATCTCTCTCTGCCTCCTTGACCCCCTTAAGCTCTCTGTGGCTCTGTCTTTGCTCTAGAGAGTGTTTTAAAGGCTCCACAGAATAATAACTGCAGTTTCTGCCATGGGAATAAGAGCTCATCTCTAAAGCAGTGCAGAGGGAATTGGAAACAAAACCGGCCTTTGTTTTATGAATGCATTGTGCTATTACTTTTTAATGATTTTCATTCGCCATTCATTGCTTTACGCATTTTGCTTTATCCTTTAACTTTATTCTTCACATGGTGGTGTTTGCCAAGCAAGTATCACTATACGACTGCTCATACTTGGAGATACCTAAACAAACCTCTAATACAAATACTTTTTTCTGCTGTTCTATTCAGAACACATTAGAATCCACCTAGCAACCTACACCTAAGTGACTCACCTAACCACAATAGCACGTGGCGCTAATAACTACTCAGAACATGGTGAAACTACATAGCAATGCCCAGTAACTACCATAAACCCTGCACAGTAAACCTAAACAGCTGCATAGTAACCAACTAAAAACCATCTAGTGACTATTAGTGACCTAACAAACCTAACAGACCTCTGTATAGCATCACAAAGTAAACCACTCAGATTACCTTATAATTATTCAGTAAAAAAGGTACAAAAGCTGTCACTATTTGCTGTGACAGTGACAGCTTCTTCTTTTTTTTGTTATTTTTTTTAGAGAGAGAGTGTAGCAACTACATACCGTTGTAATGGCATGTTAACCACTAGCATTGTGAGTTGTGCACAAGCAAACACCACTAATTTTCTTCAGAAAATGTAAAATGACATGTTCCCCCTTCATTTTACCCTCATGGAAAAAGTAGCACACATTGGTACGCTATTAAAAAGAGTACTTATTACGGAAATAATATTTAAAAAATCTAAAAGCATGTACTATAATTGTAAACTGAATGTTATGTTTTTGGACTGAACTTAAGAGTGCTTTTTTGACCGACTTAATTAGGACTTAAGTGCATTTTTTTGTGTAATTTCATAATTACTTCTATTGTCTTTCTACTGTCAAATTGACTAACAAGCATGTATGGTAAACTATCTGTAATGTTATGTCAACTGAAACTTGTATGCCATGTTTTTAAATGTATTTGTAATTGCGCAATTATTAAGTCACATTTTAGTACATTTAAAAAGTATTAGCTTTGAATGTAATATTGAATTAACTACAGTTAACTGTCACGATGTTGCCTACGGTGAGGAGCGAGGAACAAGGAGAATGCAGGACAGTTACTATAACAGTCTTTATTCATCCAAAGGGAACAAGGAACACACGTAGGAACGGGGATCAATGTTTAAGACAGCACGCTAGACGTGGAAACACACAGGGCTTAAATCATGGAAACTAATGAGGGAACACCTGCAGCAAATGATATTAATAAGGACAGGAACGGGAAGGACCAAATAAAAAAACGAAAAACAAACACGGGGAAAAGGGGCGCCGCTTACTGTCTTGGTCCGGTATTCTGTCACGTTCGCTACTATGAGGGAGTGCGGAGCGAGGAACGAGGAGACGTGGAGTACATCAACAAGGAGACTTTAATGAAATCAAGGGAACCAGGAAAACACACATAGCAGTGGAGGTTGACATAACAATACCGGACCAGGAAACTCAAAACAGGAAACACTATAAATACACATGACTAGACGATGGGATGACGAGACACACCTTGAACTAATGAAACAATAATAAGGACAGGAACGGGAAGCACCAAATAAGGGCATAGGAGGAACATGGGGGAAAACCAGGACATGGAGCACGTGGGGAACAAAACACAAGAGTCTGACATAACACTACAGTTAAAATTCTAATCAATTACTGATTGTATTTTTAAAGCATGACAAAAACATAACTGAAACATAATTTAAAATGCACTTTAATGTGAAGCATTTGACATTGCAGAGTGCATTTATAAATTAAGTATAAGTATGTTAAGAAGCATCGTCATAAATGTGTTATTAAAGCCTCGTTAAGAACACTTAAAAGAATAGTTCACCCAAAAATGAAAATTCTGTCATCATTTACTCACGCTGAAGTTGTTCCAAACCTGAATGAATGTCTTTCTTCTGCTGAACACAAAATAAGGTATTTTGAAGGATGTGTGTAACCCAGGGGTTGGCAAGTTCGGTCCTAGAGAGCTGCTGTCCTGCAGAGTTTAGCTCCAACCCTGGAAAAAGCCTATAGCCTTAGTAACCCTGAAGACATTGATTAGCTTGATCAGGTGTGTTTGATTAGGGTTGAAGCTAAACTCTGCAGCACAGTGGCTTTCTAGGACCGAACTTGCCTACCCATGGGCTGCGTCCGAAAGCTCTAAAATGCTGCCTTCGGAGGACGCATTCCAATGTAGGATGGCATCAAGGCACGTCCGAATCCAAAGTTAGCTTCACTTCCTGTCTCATGAAATACCGTCATCTGATCAATTTTTGAAGGCAGCATATCAAAGGCATCCTTCGCTGCCTTTGATATCCCACAATCCTGTGCATTCCATTTCATGATGGTTGAGCTAAAAAATAAAGAAGGCATTTGAAAGTTGCGTTTGGTGGTTCGTTTGTGTGCAAATGTGTATTTCTGACTAACTTTTTGCACTTTTGATGTTAGTTCTAGCAAGAACTTCAATTCAATTCAAGTTCAATTCAAGTTTATTTGTACAGCGCTTTTAAAGATACAAATCGTTATGACTGTCAGTTAATGTACATATGGCAGAAATGTACAGAAAAATCAATTAAAGACATAATCAAACAGATGATGAACACTATTAACAGCATTATTATATGATGCAGTCAAATTTATAGCATATAAATCAGTATTATAGTAATTAAATATTCATTTAGTTATAAACTCATTATATTTCGTTGTACATCATTAAACTGTTACACTGCCTCAGAAGCCTGTCCGAAATCAGTTTCATGAGGTGACTTTGTGCAGAAATGCTGCCTGCAAAGTTATTGCCTGATAGGGCAGCGAGGCTGCAAGTCAGCTAGGCTTTCGGACACAGCCCTGGTGTAACCAAACAGTTGATAGTCCTCATTGTATTTTTTTCAGTGAGGACCATCAACTGTTTGGCTTTATTTAATTAATATTGTAATATCTGCAAGTACAGAGTTTTTTTTTTTTTGGTCACACTTTATTTTAAGGACCAATCCTCGCTATTAACAAACCATTAACTATGACTTTTGCCTCAATAAACTCCTAATTTGCTGCTTATTAATAGTTAGTAAGGTAGTTGTTAAGTTTAGGTATTGGGTAGGATTAGGGCTGTAGAATATGGTCATGCAGAATATGTGCTTTATAAGTTCTAATAAACAGCCAATATGTTAATAATAGGCATGCTAATAAGCAACTAGTTAATAGTGAGAATTGGTCCCTATACTAAAGTGTTACTACCCACAAGGGTTTTCCAAAACTTCACACAAACTCTTTCTTTCTCTCTCTCTCTCTCTCTCTCTCT